CATGAGAATTTGCATAATTAGGATTAAGGAACTGACCTCACAGCCCATTGTTCCTTCAGTGGGCTGGTTTCAGTCATTATGCAAATGTACTGTTTATAAGATTGGGGAAAACTGCAGTCAGCTGAGACTGAAGAAGTCACTTGGATGAGTGACGAAACGTTTCTCCCAGAAAACGTTACGTCCAGATGAACAGTACTCTGTTTACGTTACGTTTTGCACTAATACTGGGTTTTTTTCTGACAGACACCTTTAGGCGGGGTGTAGTTTTTAACCTGGTGCGCTTTGGTCTGATACACTCTACTGAAGGACCCTGTACCTGCTGCCATGTGTATCATTCACAGTAATCAACAAACCCAGAAAGACTCAGCATGTCCTGCTCAACTTACTCTACCACAGCACTGCTGCCCATGTCCAGGTAGCGGCTGCTGATCCACTGGATCTGGAACCAGTCTCGGTATCCTGTGTTCCCACAACACTGGAACTGGATCTGCAGTAGGTCCACAGTTCTCTTCAGGTTGCAGCGGCCCGGAGTGTCTGTGTCTTTATAGTATCGCATGGCATTCCTCAGGCCCATAAACAGGGATTCCTCCATTTGGCTGCGAATGCCGTAGCACATGAGCGCCCCTGCCAGGACGCAAGAGGTGAAGAAGAAGGTGCATATGATGTACGGCATCATCACCAGCTTCCACCGCAGGAACTTGTTGGTGTCGGCACAGTCCAGGCAGATCTTGCCACCGAAAAAGTTGATGCAGCAGGCTGCTAGTCCTGTGGTGATCAGCATATGTGGCACATAGAGGATTCCCTGCTCCGACATCACTTCTTGCCATTTGTGAATCTCTACTCTGAGGAACAAGCCAAGGCCAAAGAGGATAGTTCCTGTCACTACAGAAATCCAATTAAGCAGCCAGAGAATCTCAGCTAGCTTCTCTCTCTCCACCTTGCTAAATGTCACCTTCCCAACTGCCATGACCGTTCTCAGGTTTCTGAGTGACTCACGGCTAAGAAGCTGCTAACATGGCCAAAAGGTGGCCACCCTCAGTGTGCATGAACACTTTTGACCACAAGGTGCTGCATAACAATCTACTGTCAGGCTGTCTGAGCTAAAGAGTTTATGTTCTACATAACAACATGACAGCATACTGTTTGTGCATATGCCTTTTTGTTGCAATACTGAAACTTGTTTACAAATTAATATAATTTTAAGCCACCAAATTCATCATTCTCACTTCATTTGCTCACAGCTGAAGCTTCTAAAGCCCCACCGACTGAAATATTTAAGGTTGCACTTTTCATAAATATCAGTCATGTCAGTGCTTTAGATGTGTGTTTTGTAAATCAATTGTGAGCGTGAATATGTAAAGACGAAGGCACAGAACAATCAGGCTTTTTAGAAGCTGGCTGTGCGCACTCTGACTGGTTTCCAATCAGGCCTTCATTTCATCTCTTCGAAATAAGAAAAACCTCCCTTTGGACAAACAGTTCTGAGAACTAGTCTAAACTAAGGTGTTTGAATCTTGCTGTCATGAACCATCAGGCAGATGGGGTATGGTGGCTCAATTGTGAAGTCCACACAGGTGTGAGAGGTTCAGAGGTCAGAGGTCAGGCTTCAGTGTGGACTTTTCTTTAAATGAAAGCTGCAGGATGGAGCAGGAAGGAGGCTGCTGCCCACTGAGTGTCATAAGCAGCTTACAGAGATATTTTAGGCACTCCTGACTGCAGACCACAACTTGACATGACCAGCATTAGAGCACTGCGGGGAAGAAAGAAGGTCAGTTTATCAAAACTGGCACAAATACTAAGAACCACCATCATCAGAATCCCAACTGTGTGATTCCCAGAGGATTAAGAATCATATAGACACACCCATTAGCGTTGACTCAGATGAAATAACTCCAACTTAGGTCTAACTGATGCTTTTACACTGCACAAACAAAGACGGATGTAAACATCTACTAATCCGAATGTTCTTTCTTTTGTCTGCCGAGGTCCATGAATGCTTTCCAAAGCATAAGACTATACATTTCTACAATATGCACGAACTGAAGGCATTTTTTTTCTTTTCATTATTATAGATCAGAAGAAAGTGCAAAGATGAGACGAGCTAAGGATGCTAGCTGTCAGGCAGCACATATACACTTATCCAATCAGCCAATACTATGCCCACAATACAACACATGACAAAATCTTTACCTTGGGTAGTGAAATCTAACACCTGCTGCTAGTCCATTGTCGTGCTGATCTCCCGCTATCCCGGAGCAAGGTGAGCTCTGACACAAAGCAAATATTGAAGCTGAGAAGAGCAATTTTGAAGTGCCTGTTAACTCACCATCCTGTACTTCTAATCCCCTTACAGATAATCAGCTGTAATAAGCTGACACAATCTCTAACCCTCGACTCACCAGCTAGGCCTTCAGCAGAAAGACACATCCACTCTTTAAATCATGCTGATCTGAACATATTGCAAGAGTATATTAGGAGGCAGGGGGAGAGCAGATGATGGAGTAGAGATGAGGAGGATGGGGTCAGTTAAGCTTCTGTGGAAAAGATAGGAGAAGGTAGTGTATACGGTAGTGACATATTTCTTAATAAGTAAGTGGTTTAACCGTATTTGCTAATATTATTTAATTCAACATGTTTTACACATAATCACCTGTTATTTGTGAGGGATGGACACGTTTGGGGATAGTTGGGATGACGTGTTGCTTCAGGTTGTTTTCATTCAGAAAGTTTAAAGCTTTTCAGTTTCTTTGTACAAGTGGTTGTATTCCTCTAATATCCAATCTTTTTCTGTGAAACTCCACAACAGCATGGAATTAGGAAATTCAAGGACTCCGTGCTGTGCAACTTGTAGACAGAAATTTTTGTCATGAACATAACTGTCACTATCAGTTTTCGATCATCCTATTTTGTTTTATTTTAACTGCAACCAAACAGAAGACAGCATTGACTGTAGCAAGCACAACAATCAGCATCCTCATGTACAGACATGTGCAGACATACGCTCCAAATCATAATCCCCAGAGTTTCTCCTTTAGTCAGCGATCTCTCTGACTAAAGGAGAAACTGCGCAAAGCACCTAAATAAACACATGAACTCAGATTCACATCACTGCATCTCAGTTTATTGACGTACTGCAAAGCATACATGATATGAAGATAGCCTGTTACATTAACTGCAGGTAAAAGATGCTGAAGAAATACATGCACAGTGTGAAAAATATGTTTATTCAAGGCTGATTAAAAGGAAGCAAGCTGATCAAAGCCTTTACTACAGACTAACAAAACAAAGCAGTTAATGATGTAAGCACACGCCATCAGTACCTTCAGCGAGAATCTGTAGAATGTAGAAAAGTCACTGGTTTATACAAGCACAATAACATGAACACAAATGATGTTTTTGGCTTAAGTCATTCTGAAAACTTGGTTAACTGTAAAAAGGAGAAAAATATTAACTCTTCCCAAACCAAAAATTACAGGTACCGTTAGGGTTCTTTGAATTAATAGATTTGAATAACCCACTAAGTAAGTAAGTAAAACTTTATTTTTATAGCACTTTTCACAGACAGATGTCACAAAGTGCTTCAAAAGAGAGGTAACAAAAACACAATACAATCATAAATACATCATAAACACCGCGGTCTAATTAAAGGTATGACACCACAATATCACTGTAAAAACTACACCTTCATTACTATGATTTTTAAGGTTCATTCATAAAAACTTTCTCGAACACAAACTATTGAAGAACTGAGATTTCTGCCACACTGTGAAATAAAAAAGGCTGGAGAGTCTAACATGAATAATTAAGAGGCTTTTAGAAATCTTTACTGTCTTTGAATCCAGCTGTTAGCTATAGAAATGCACAGCAACTGACCAGTATAACCATAAATTATATCCACACTGGTGAATGCACCATCTGTTTTTCATATGTGTCTTGATCTATTATTATAGGTCATCGATCTGTCCATGTCATTCAGGCAGAGACCATGCTGTGGAGACACTCTATGTAGACCCACAGCATCTTCTCACACAGTATAACACACAAAAATAAAATAGAATAAAAATGAAATAGAATATAAAAACAGTAAAATGTGGCAAAAAAAAGTTTCACATCAGTTTAAATAGATTTTAACAGAATAACCCGAGACGTCAGAATGAAAGTAGACCAGTTAGGATTAGCATCATAGCCATCAAAGCCATCATAAAGAAATATGTGTAAAAGCAGGGAGTCATTACATTTGTATGTTATAATGTACAGTACATTTCCTATGATAAACATGTGTATGGCGTGTTTTTTTGTGCCACTATTCTGAGCGCACATAAAAAAAATTTGAGCGCACGTAAAAATAATTTGCAGGTGCAAGTGTTGCATTTTGAGGAGAAATTTATTTTGAGCGAAGAAAAGCTCAATTTAAGTGAACAAATGTATTTCAGTGTTTGCTATTATCCATACACACACACAATAGCAGCCTCTCTCGCTCAGTTTTTGTATTTGCGCTTGCTCGCAATGTGTTGCTTGCACTCTCAACATTTCTGCCTGTGCGCATTCAACTCTTTCTGTACACCGTTATATTTGTGCCACAGCTAGTGGGTATACCCACGAGATGCCTGTTACGTAACAGGGATCTCCGAAAACATTAGAGCACTTATGCAAATATGTCTTGATAAATCGAGCAGATATTTGAAGTTTACACAGCACCATTCTCACATGAAAATATCTTAAAAGTTTATTTTGTGACCCAGACAGAGTAATATTTCAAACTCCGCCACTCTGTGTTCCTCCGCCACTGCCTCGTTTGAGTTTTGGACGAAATGGATTCTGGAATATTGCATTTCATCATTTTGAGCTGATTGGAGACCAAAACAGCCAATCAGATTTTTTTGCATCCACATCTGTGATTGGCTGGTTTTGTGGCACAAATATAACGGTGTACAGAAAGAGTTGAACACGCACAGGCAGAAATGTTGAGAGTGCAAGCAACACATTGTAAGCAAGCGCAATTGCAAAAACTGAGCGAGAGAGGCTGCTATTGTGTGTGTGTATGGATAATAGCAAACACTGAAATGCATTTTTTGCACGCAGCAATGAATTTTGTTCACTCAAATTTAGCTTTTCTTCGCTCAAAATAAATTTCTCCTCAAAATGCAACACTTGCACCTGCAAATTTTTTTTCACGTGCGCTCAGAATAGTGGCACAAAAATAACACCATATATGTCTGTCAACTGCTGGCAAGTTTGTATTCACAGCCCCTTCCAATACTGTCATACATGTCATGCATTTATGACCATGGGGGTAAAAAAAAAAAGGAAAAAAAAAGGATTACATTATTTTCAGGTCTTTGGTAGGACATTCATTCATTCACCACCAAACGTCTGGTGACCACCTCTCTGTTATGCAGAATTAGTAGGAGGGTAACTGCTACATGGTCCTTTGGTTTATAGTCTGTGATGTGCAGAGTGAAAAACACCATCAGCAGTAGTTTGCAGTCAGGAGCAGACTCTCTCCTACAACTCACACAGAGATGCAGTGGACTCATATGACCAGAACCCAAACCCGAACCCAAAGGCAGGGTAGACTGGTTCGGTGAATGTGGTGTGGAAGGTGTGCAGGAGGGTCAGTTTGTCCGAGCAGACTCGGTAGAAGGACACAGTACCAGCAGGACAGTCCACATACACTGCTATTCTTTTAGGTAGAGTAGCACCATAGGGAAGATAGACAACATGTTCTCTCTTGTTGTGCCAAAAAGAATATTTCTCTTGAGTGCAGATTAGACTCCAGCACTGGTCATTCCACCCGAGCCTGCAGTCCGCACTGTTCCCTTTCCTGCTGATTCTTTTGTACGTCACTGCTATGACAACTTGCCCTTCCCTCTCCACCTCCCAGTAACAACGACCAGTCAGACCATTTTTACACAGCACCTGCCAGCAGCAGTAGTCAAACCTCTCTGGATGATTTGGATAGGGCTG